AGGGGGTTGTAGCTTGCACACGGATTGGATCTACTCTACTTTTTAAACTGTGGGCTACGCTTTGAAGACAGGCCCAACGTCCCTTCCACAATTACTTTTCTAACATGAAGATTGATCACTTTTGAAGACACAGTCCCATATATTTGTTACATCTGGAACAAATGCTTTGATAACCAGCTTTTGAGAAATTAAATGCAAATACAAGAGATGCACAAGTCACAAATGCAAGCAACCAAGAGATATAAAATTAATCGAAAAATTACTTCTTAAAAGGGAGATAACTAAAAGGAGGGAGTTAGGGCAATAATGAGTTTTTAGAAGACAAACTGTGTTGACTCTGATGGCCTTTATCTCTCTCAGAAATCTTACTGCCTTTCTTTACTTGGCACTTTCTTCAAATACCATTCTACATCCCTCCCAACACCCTGAGGCAAGCCATGGGACAAAGATCTCCAGTGAGGAAAGCTCACAAAACAGTACAAGTGCTGCAATTAATAGTAATGAAAAGCAGTTTTTCTGGTGCATGCCACGAGATCAGCCTGATGCTCCACTAACAGACACTATCTAAGCATCACAGATGACAGTTTTAATCATTTACATAAGAGATATACATGGTCAAAGAAGTGGTGATGACTTGTGCTTATTTTGGAAATGAGTATGCAGATATGGCACCCTCCAAACTTTCCTGGAAGCTGGCTGATCTTCTGGAATGTGCTTTGTTGGGAGCATGAGCATTTTTATTTATGCTTTGGGGAGCTCATGCTCTGAACTGTGAGCCAAATATGTTGTGTTCGGATTTTACTATTATAGCTATATAAATAATACAATAGGAACTACCCTTTTTTTAACCTGGCCTACATTTTTGGGGGTAAATTGATAGTAACACCGAGTGTTAATAAATGAGTGATTTAGACCCTGAATTGTCTATGAAGGAAGAGAATATTTATGTGTCCTCTGCATAAACAGCACTTGATCACCAGATCGTAACAGTAAGTTTGTTTATTTGTACCGTAGTTCCGTAGTTGTTTGGACTTTTTTTTTTTTTTAATTCACACAGTTAAAATTCCATTATGAATGGTGAATTAATATAGTTAATTCAGGGATTTGTCAAACTCTGACTAATAAAGTCACTACATTTTGTTAAATTCTCACTCAAGTCGGACCTGGAAGGGGAAATGGTAAATCAGAGAGCGAAGCAATAGATATTTTGCATATATCCCTATAACTGTGTATTGGTTATTCTAGCACAGGAACAAAAATATTATTTATTCTAACAACCAGTTGTGACAGAATTGTTACTCATTAAGAAAGCTCATATGATTTTGTATAACTTGAAGTACATTCAGATAGCTCATTCATTTATCGGTCTGAGCAAACACACATCATAAAAACAGTGTTGTTATTACTGTGGACAGTGAACAGAAGGAAAATGGAACGTACAGGGGTAATACCCCCAAATTTCTGCCTAAGCTGAAGCACCTGCCTGTGGGCATGGGAAGAACGTGGTGGTGCTCTGAAGGGGATAAATAGCGGTGGTGAAGTGAGAGCCCCGACGGAGCGAAGAGGCGTGTGGGGAGGTCAAGTATGCTTGATGCTACCCTCAAATGCATTCAGCAACGAACAATGTGACAGTAATGAGGATGAGGCAGATATCGAGGCAGGCTCGTGATGCATGATTTTATGCATCATTAGTCAAGCCACTGGGAATGATGGCCGAACCAAAAATCTTGATGAAAACAAGTAATTTTGGATTGAACCAAAATTTTGTGCTTTTCTCTCCAGGAAAGTGATAAACTGAAGAGTGGTTTGATCTGAAACAAAACAGTCTGTCTTCAGTTTTTTTAAGCCCTCTTTAACCTTTTCATTTTAGTTTCGTTTGGTTAAATTTGACGTGAAGCATTAATAATTTTGTTCTTAAAATGCTTAGTCTTTCCCAAATATATTTGCTTTCTATTTTTTTCTGAAGCCATTTATTAAATTTGACCCAATTTCATAAATACTTTTATTCTCTCTGATGATGTGTCATGTTGAACTGGTTAATCACATTCTTCATTGCCAGTATTATTGTCTCTAGGAACAAAGAACTCTCATGCTTTCTCCTTTTATCCTGTTAATTGAAATCCATAGTGCCTCCCCATATTAAAAGATGCTTTCCAAGCAACTTCTTCTCTTCACTGTCACTCCTTGTAGTAAAGCAATAATATGAAATTGAATAGTCTGTATAGTTAAATTTAGAATGAGCGAAAAAAGGTTAGGTTGAAGATACGTTTTTCTATGTGCTTTGGAAAACAGCAAGGTGCTTCTCTGCACTTCCTGAGGTTCTTCCTTTGCTGACCGAACTCTGGTGGAATACAATGGATGTAACGTATCAAAGAGAGAAGTTACTCCCAGGTAGCATCAACCTGACACAGAGTCTGTGTTTTAAGTCCAAATTTCTGAGTAAGAAGGGGAGGTCAGCTAGTATGGGCAGAAGGGTGCTAGACCTGACTCTCTACAGTAATGTTAGCTGTGGTCTGCAGAGTTTAGTAGCAAAGTATTCTTTTTCCCTAGGAGATAGGTGTTTTTTGGTTTTTAGTATACTGGTTGCAGTAATTAATGTGACATATCCACAGACCCCCACAGGCTGCTGCAGAGCTCCACAGTATGTGTTATAAGGTCTTCTGGCTACTCTCAGATATGAGGATGAGAAGTCAGGGATAATATGGACATCTGTTCACTCTAATTCAACAAGATCATAATAATACGTCTATTAGTTTAACAATTGAAAGCCACACATCCCAAATGAGAACAACAGAAAAAAAAAAAGCTAGTTCATTTTTTGTCAGTACTTTCCTCTTTTCAGACAAATTATTTCAAACTTGTCTAGATTAAGCTTCAGCTAATCGTCTTGCCACACTGAGCAATTCTGAGGGGGCCTGTGCTGAATTCAGAGAGAAGAAAGTGATTCCTTGCTTTGCTTCTGCAGTGGTTCCATGCAGATGTTTGATAAGGCAGAGCCCAGGACGGAGCTGCCTGGGAAGCTGCAGTGGAGTGCCCAGAGGAGAGCTGTCCACTCCGACCCAGACACGGACACCTGAGCACAGCTTTCGTGTAAATGAATTGGGATAGAAGTATGTGGTGTTTAGCTGCTAATGGCATTAGACTCCTTTGGGGGACACACCGAGATTTGTATGGATGTTTGGTTCCAGTCGCTTGGCCGACAGAATTAATCCATTGGTTTGGTCTAACAGGGGACATTAAAAGAACAATTACTTACACTACTGTAATTGCTGCTCTTCAAGGTTAAATTCTCCATACAGATTCCTCTGTTGTTCTTTACACAGGGGACAGTTTGTCTTTGAAGACCAATGAGAACTACTATATTGGCTATCCACTTATTGTTTTTCTATATTAACAATAATGCTTTTTGTTAACACTAATGAATTTGTTGTTATGAGTGGCAGCTTTATCCTTCATAAACCAAATTTTCAAAAAGTAAAAAAATATATATATATAATAAAATTTGGAGAGAGTAGAAAAGATTTTCTAATCATATGCATGTCCCAGCAATGACTATTCCAGAGAGATTCCAGCACTAAACCATTCCTAGCAAATGCTTGAATGAGCGCCTCAGTAACCTCTCAAACTTATCCAATCCAGTATTTCACTATCCCTACCAGAACAGTTTATCCTAATGATTGATCTAAATTTTACTCTCTGCAATTTAAACCTATGACTTTTTGCAAAATCCACAGGGAATAGTTTACTTCTTTCTTATTTGCTACTACATTTAACTTGAAGACATCAGTATGTCTCCCCTGTTCTCTGAAGTAAACACCTTAAATCTCTTCAAGTTCCGCTCAGCAGTCAATATAGATCACTAATTGTGCTTGGGTTTTCATATACACTCTTCCTCTATTTGAGATCCTGCCAGTGCTGAGATAGCACAAAGATTTCAGTGGTGCCATACTCTGTTTTCAACAGCAGCGTGATGCTGTTAATTCACATTCAGCTTGCAGTCCAGTATAGCCCCTTCTCCCTCTGCGCAGACCATTCCTTATCACAGGTTCATGAAATTCATTTATTCTGCATAAGAATTTTGCTTTTGTGCTTTTGGTTTGCATTCTTTGTTTGAAATACTTGCACTCAAATTTCACTGCATTTACTGCATTCACAAAAAATAGGAATTCCTGTAAGCTATGAAATAGTGAAACCCATATGTCCTATTGAGAATAAGATTTTTTGAAGTAAAAGACTGTAACATGATTTGAAATAATTGGTCCTCTGCTCAAGGCAGCTTCAAGACATTAAATAGTATGGGGACATTTATGGGGACATAACTAATGCATGTGTGAATTCAGGCGACTGCTCAGTAACTAGCAATAGTGCAAAACCTACCTTATTTAGCTCTTTCAAACAAAAGGTAGCTGAGGAAGGTAACAGTAAAGGCCTCATTTTACACACAGATTTTCGAAGAAAGAATATTTTTATTACTGTTTTTAAGGCTCTCATTGCTTCACAGTGTGGCTACTGCAGGTTCGCAGATCAGATCTGATTAGGTTTTTTATGCTTTTTTTCTAATACTATTAGAAGTGGAAATGGCCATCCTGACAAAATACCACTGGGGCTAGCACACACGTGTTATGCATTGCCAGATCTGGTCATGGGAGTTCTCTGTCAAACAGAAACATACAACTGTGCCTCCTAAGCCCTGTGTCAAGCAGTTTATATAGAAGCCAATTAGGCTCTCATCAGCAGTCAGCATGGTCTATATAGATCCAGTGAGAGTATAATGTTGGATTGCATCCTATGAGAGTGTTAATCGGTTAAGCCAGAGTGCTAAATTCTGCCTAGCTTGGGTGGACTTTCAATGTCACAGTCATTTCATACTTTAGGCAACACATTTTAGGAGCTCTTTCTCATGACCACTAAGGCACCTTTACGTTGTCAAAGAGATTTTTGTAGCTGTAAACAACAAAACTAATTTTCTTTCTAATATTATATGTTTTTTTTTCTGTTAGGTTGAGAGAATTGTAGACAAAAGGAAGAACAAGAAGGGCAAATGGGAATATCTCATCAGATGGAAGGGCTATGGAAGCAATGAAGACACCTGGGAACCTGAACATCATCTCCTGCACTGTGAGGAATTTATTGATGAGTTCAATGGACTACATGTTACTAGAGAAAAGCGATCAAGACATGGGAAACAGGCTGGCACTCCAAAATTTTTACGGGAAAGTCGAGGGTCATCTGTTGAAAAAATATCCCACAGAACCGAATCTGGGAAGTCTAAAGGGTCAACACATAAAAGAAAGAGAATTAATCCATCTCTTCAAAAGCAGAAAAGAGGATACACAGCAAAGCCAGCATCTTCTAGTGACAGAGCCGCTAAAACTGTGACTTACCGAACTACTCCCAGTGGTTTACAGATCATCCCGCTGAAAAAGCCACAGAATGGTCTGCAGAATGGAGATGGCAGTCATGAAAAGGATGCTAGACACTTTGGGAATGGCTCACAAGAGCAAAACATGGATTTAAATGATCATGAAGGAGAACACAATTTGCCTAGTGGTTTGGAAGTTAGTAATGATTCGCCTGTTGTGAATGGAATTGGTAAGTGATTTAAACAAATGTGGTCTCTTTTTGGGGGGCGAGAGGTACAGAGTGGGGAATTAATTGCAGCAACTGTAAAAAGTGAAGCTACTTATGAAAACACCACTGTTATGCTACCCAAGTAATATGGTGAAAAGAACATTAAAAGGTTTCACATTCTTTCCCCATAAATCACACCATTTTCTACCAGGCTTTCCTGGTTTCCTACTGAATGACATGAAGTAATGTGGGCTTTACTCCATGCAATATAGATTTCTTGTGGGGAAACGATGACAAGGCATGGAGCACGAATGACTCCTGAGGTATGTACAGTACTGGGACTTCCGTATATTACCAAGTAACAAATCACTATTCAGTTATGTGTGCAAAGACCTAGTGGTCTAGGAAGACCAGAACTATTTTAGAAACAAAATTAGTACCACTCTTGGTAAAGAATCCTATGCATGAATAGTTCCTTAAAAGTTCCAGGTCCTTGTGTCTGACAGTGACTGGAGACATGCGAGGGGACAAGATATGTAATACTGGAAGTTCTAAAAAGCCTTGCAGTGAATGACATGACTTATAGTAGAAATTTCTTTGTAACCCCAATAGTTACAGACTGGCGTCTTTCACAGTGAACTAAGGTTTATATTCTCTGTAAAATCCTATGCAGTTTAATGCAAGTAAGTAGCTTGCCAATATCTATATGAATCCAATCCATTTATTTATTTATTTGTTTTTCCTACTAATCTTATAGTCTCAATGATGTTTTGTGGCAGTAGTTTCCCAGAATTAACAACTGCATTGTTTATTTGATTAGATTTTTTTTCTGACTGTACTGTCATCAGTTAAGTTCTTTTCCTTATATGAAAGGATGTAGGGAGAGATGGCCTGGTCAATCTGTAGATAGTGCCAACCTTTTCCATTTTTCTATCACATGGAAGTCTTTCCAGATGCCTGATGGTTCTCAGTATTCTCTTGGGCTTTTGTTTTTTCAGTGGTGTTTTTTTAAAAAATAAATAAATAAAAGACAGCATGAACTGTTCTAAATGAGTTCCTACCACTTACTGATACAGTGGCGATACAGTCTTTTGAGTATTATTTTTTCTGCTGTTACATACACCACAAAGATTTTCATTGAGATTTTTATTCACAGTTGCTCTTAGTTATTTTTCCTCCCTGATTACAGTTAATTTAGAGCACAGCTATATGTATGATTCTTGTCATTATGCATTTAATCTGCTTTACTGTTACCATTTCACCTTTCTGTTATGACTCAGTGGAGAGCTTCAAAATCTTTCCTAGCTTTTACTCTACTTTTTTTACTGTACTTATTCTCTTCAAATTTTCCTATCACACTTCTTACTTCTCTTCCCAGTTCATTAATATATATGTTAAATAAACTAATCCTTGTGCAGGTCCTTGGGGCAGACAACCACTTGACATGATGAAAAGTAGCCATTCGTTCCTATTATTTATTTTTATTAGCCACTTTCTGTAGCCCACGATAGCCTCATTTCCTTAACAGCTTCTTGTGAATTGCCCTGCCAAAAACTTTCCTAAAGCCAACATAGATCATATCGCCCAGCTTTCCTTTATCCACTATACAGCACACTTAACAAATAGTACTGATTTTAAAAGCAAAACTGTCCTTGCCTAGTTTCACCAGTGACATCCTATAAACTGCTGTGATAAAAGGACTTTTCAATCCAAGCATCAAATAACTTAATAAGGACTCCAAGTTCAGCAAAATATACGTAGCCCAGATTATGTCAATGATGCTACCTTACACTTCAGATTGGGACTGCAGACTTCTATATTTTGGTTACTTTGTGCCTATATGAATCTGTTTAAAAAATTAGTTGCTTCCTTAAAAAGTATATCTAGTTGCAGAAGTATATAAAGCTTTTTTGTTCGCTTTCTTATTCTAATTTTTTTTTAAACATTTGTGTTATTCTTCAGGGAGGTTCCAGTACAAAATGCATCCTTTAAATGTATTTATTCCCATATTTTAAAAACTCCTTTTAATGAAAAACAAAAACTATAAAGAACCACAAGGTCAAATGAACCTTTCACTTGTCCCCACAGGAGCAATACCACAGGAGTGGTATCTACCAGGGGGCTGAATAACCCTGTGAGAGAGCTTTATTTCAGGACAAGGCCACTTTGCCAAAGCAGCCAGGTGCTCTGCTGTGGATAGAGGGCTTCTGGCCTAGCAGTTGATGTATTCAACTCTTCTGAAATATTTGTATATGAAGGTTTTTCATTCTTGAAATCCTTCACTACTGCTCAGTACTTTGCACCCTTCTGCCCTTGCACGATGGCCTCTCTGGAAGCAAAAACAAGAGATCTTTAAATTGCTACGTGTTTCTCCCCTGAGAAATCCATACTCAGCAGTACAGCCAAGGTCAGGAGCCCCTTCAGTCTTGCTTTGTGATACCCACACATTGATATGTGATACCCACACATCACACAGTGGAGAGAACTACAAAGAGGACAGATTAAGCTTCCAAAATAAGAGTAAACAGGAATTAGTGAGAAGGAGACAGAAAAAAAATACCAGCTTTTTTTCTAAATATCACTTTATAGGCTTGAAAGAAGTCACATTTCCTGATGCGGAGTTTTTCATCATTTGAAGAGACTACTGTCAAATCAAAGAAACTTCCATTACTGTTCACCAGCTCCAACAGTGAATTTAGTAAACTCCCTGAGTATCCACACTTGCAGGGAAGTAACGCAGAAGATCACACACTCCTTTGAAACTAGATAGAAGTCATACTAAAACTGGTCTAGAATTTTACAAACTGCAAATGAAGAAAGTTTCAGAGAAAAATGCCAATTTGTTGAATAACAGGAGGATTGTTCTAAACATCTTGGGTTTCCAAACTTTCTCCAGATCTGAGCCAAGGTCCCAAGGCCCTGTCCCTTGAGACACGGGGCTCTGGAGCTCTGTGGCAGCCTGCTTGGCAGGGCTCCCATGTTCAGCCTGGAGGCAGCCAGCTATGCCAGAGGTTTCGGGCTGCCTGCCACGGAGTCTGGAATCCAAAAGCCTGGCATGTCCCACGAGCGCTCGCACGGCTCCCGGGCGCTACATGCGGAACACAGACCGAGCCGGGAGGACCTGGGTTTAGCTCCCAGATCTGTGTCTCTGGGGCAGCCCCATGTGTAGTCACAAAAGTCACACGGCCATTTGTGTCACTTTGGAGCTTGCTCTGTGAAGCCCAAAGGAATGTCAGCTTCATTTCAGAGCTAGGTATAGGGCTGCACAGAAAATGTATGTGTATGTATATATATATATATGTATATATAAAGTTAAGCCTTTCTTGCAGAAGCAAAGCCTAGGTTTTGAAAACTCAGAAATTCCCTCCTTTTCAAAATCCAGCTTTAGGCCCAGTTCTGCTACCATGCTGGCCTACAGATAAAGGCCTCTCTAACCCATCAATCTGAAGCAGTAGTCTTGCATATTATAATAATGTTTAATCACCAGTGTATTAAACCAAGCAATCTAATTACTAACCTGTATACTGAGCAGATCCATAGCTAATCAAAAATATCCATTTTATTTTTCTATAGCATGCCCCCTACACTGGCTGTTCTGCTGAAATAAGAAATACTTGTTTGGAAGCCATTTTTTAAAGGCTCCTATATCTGACTTCCACCAGCCTATGCTTGGTTTTGTATACACAGCTACTTGCTAAAGTGTTTCCTAGTGGAACCAGTAAAAGTAAGCCCTTTATCCCCCCAAAGACTAGTATATACCTGCAGATGTGTATGCAAAATTGTAATGCGGCCTGGCGGGGCCTGGGGTTTTAGTAAAGTTGGGACCGACCTTTCTTAGCAAGATCTCTTCTCTGTTGTCTACACTTCCCTTCCCTAAGAGAGTGGAGCCATCACTACTGGCAGTTATTTAAGGGTCTGAAACGGGAAAATGTGGAAGATCTCTGTGTCAGAACATCCCGGGAGCTAACACGATCATTCTGCTGATGGCACGTGGTGTCTTCTGTTATCACATTGCTATTGCTCTGATGACACTGTAATTGAGAGCTATTGCTCTGTCAAGTTTCTTGACAGCATCGGAAACATCCTCTTTTATTTTTCTCTGTTGCTCTATTTCTGTACCATCTGCTGAAGAATTTCTGCTTGTCATGTATCACTAACCACTGTCTTTCTCCATAACAAAAACCTTTGTAGTCTCATGGTACCCTTAATTTAAATATTCTCTGTGAACTTAGTCACTGCTTCCTCTTGTTTTTTTAGCTTGTTCTATTTACTCTGGAGCAATACTGGCAGTAAAATACACCCAGAAATGCTTGCTTTCTCAGTTTGGATAGAAACTCATGGCTTTTAGATATCTTACAGATGATCCCTTAGCTGTAGAAGTCAAAAATTATTAGTAAATTATCAACAGCACAGTGCTTTTAAATATGTACAGTATTAACCATTACCCACAAGAAAGACAAAATGGAGACAGCGAAGGACTGCCTGGAGGCCGAGGGAATGCCAAGTTGTTTTACCAGGGAGAATAAAGGACCATGAGGTGTTTCACCTAGAAAAATTAAAGCCATAGCTCCATGATCCCTTTCATTCAGCATAAAAGTATACTGCTCACAAAAGCAGCGGTGCAGCCAACAATATCCTCATCGTTATTCCCACCCTTCTGCACTGGTTTTGTACTCTGGAGGCTACAAGGTGAACCGGAGCAGGATCAGTTTGAAAATTAACCGGGGCTTTGCCGAGTGAGCTTCCAGCCAGAACAGTTCCTCCAGGCAGCGCCCAGGTGGCTACCTGGGCACGAGTCCTGGCTCGCAGACCCACAAAGCAGCAGGGCCGCATGGAGACTGCTGTGGAACTGCGGCAAAATTCCAAGAAAAGATACATCTGAAAATGATGTTGGCTTCCAGGAAAACTGGAAGAAGATGAGGAGATCTGAGCCCTCTAAAACACTGAGTAATCTGACACTCATTTTGTTATTTTCTCTCTTTTTTTCTCCTACTCTTTGCTTGTCTCATCTTCTCAGACTATAAATTTTCAGGTGTTTTCTACAGTGCCAAGCCCCGTGGAGCCCCAGGCTCGACCTGGAAGCCCTAGGCATGTCCCAGTACCAACAGCAGCAACAGTAACATCTTTACATTTTGCCCCGTTTGAAGGATAATGGAGTATTAGAAAGGCAACTGGAATGACGAAGGGGATTACAAGCAGATAAAGAGTAAAGACTTCAGTTTGGAGAAAATGAGACAGAGAGGGGTGTGATCAAAGTTTACAAAATCATCAAGGCCTCATATAAAGTAAATGCAGAACTGTTGTTTACTAAATCTTTCAATAGCAAGACTAGGGGCCACTTACTGAAACGAGAACTACTTCAGATAAAAGCACAGATGAAAGAAAATTCTCTGTACAGTGGCTGCTAAACTTCTGCAACTCATACCACAGGAGACTGTGGAGACAAGATAGTATCACCAGGCTCAGAAAGGGATTAGAGAAATGCATGAAAAGGTCCATGAGCAAATACTAAAGGAAACAACAAAGATAAATCTTCCCATACCCCATACAAGACTTATGGATGATACTAGGGAAAAGGACCACAGAAAGTGGCCCAGCTTGTGTTTTCTCCTTAAGTAACATCCTTTATCATCCTTATCCTTTATCCTCATTCTTGGAGAAGTACTAGATGGACTACTGGTCTTGGAATATCTTAAGTTCCCTTAAGAAATATTACAATTTCCTTTAAATATCAGTTTGTTTTTAGATACCTTCACAAATTCTCTGCAGGGTTAAAACTAGGTAACAATTAAATTAAACTCCCACTAGAGGAAGGACTACTTCCCCATTTTTGACGTCTTTAATCTGCTTCACATGCATTATAGATTGATTTGTATATGCTTCTTTTTTTCCTGTATCACGGTCATTTTCCATCTGGACATAATAAGGCCCAGTCCCGTTGTGAGCCATAATCAGGCGCTAACTATCAGTCTCGTGCAAAGACAATCTGGTCAGTTTACTCGAGAGCAATGTCAGTAGCTCCATCACATCCATGCAAAAGACAAACTAAATTGGCCTGGTTTCACTTGAGTGTTATCTTTAGATTTTGATGGACATTTTCTCCAGTTATTGGATTACACAAGATTACAGGGACCCATCTAGTCCTCAAAACAACACTTTACTCACTATATGCTGTCCTGTTAATCATCCTTTTTCGAAAATCACTTTTTCTCATTTACGTTTCTCACATATTTAATAAACACCCTTCCCTAGGTTACATTTCTTTCAGCTGGTGAGCAGACAGTTAAAACATTAGAATAAGATCTGCAGTCCCTTTTGTCATATATTTAACTTACGAACTAATACATTACATGAACAAATGCAACAAACAATTAAAATAAAATTATGAGACTTTTGTTTGAGCTGGATTCGCTGTGAGAATTAATCTTCTACCATTAGGTAGAAGGTATTACCAAATACCATTAGGTATTACCAAAAAGGATGTGGCTTAATCTTCAACACTAGGTAGATTACCAATACAGCTAGTCTGATACAACTCCCATTTATTTGTGCATTTGATTTTTTTAAGTTCTTCAGACTTTTTCAGGAGATTTATCTCTTCATATGGTCAAGCAATATAGAAAGAACTGAGTAAATAAGAGTGCAGTATTTAAATGTTTGCTTCAATCTACTAATGAATTTGCTATAATATGTTATTCCCAATAGTATTAAGTTTGCATTACAAACAGGTTGATTTTTGTTTATAAGAATACATATGAAAATACATGCAGTAACAAAAGCTTATAAAAAATACTTTTTCCATTAGAAAATAAATGGTAATTTGTAAATTGAAGCATGGTAATTTCTAAACTTGCAGATAATTCTTGTCAAGAAAAGAAATTTCAAATTCTGCTGGCTTCAAATACATTTTCCAATCAATGAGCTAACACAATTTGTCATTTTCATTCTTTGGCATCACTTAAATGCCCAATTTATTGTAAGAGAGGTAATATTCTAGATCAGATCTTTTAATTTAGCTATGAAAAGAGTTTTATCAAGTGACTGAAATAGCAGTATTTTTAGCAAATGTGTTTTTGTCTGTAGATATATGTATACCCACATGTATGCACATTACATGATGAGGCCAAATGATATATCAGTTAAACACTATTAAGCATTCAGCATGTATTTTACATCACATACTGCACCTGCGACACACATGCAGGCAATTCACTTACTGTGACCAATTCCCTGGGCCACAGTCAGTTGGGAGCTAACCACAGAGTTCAGTTACCTGCATAAACACTAAGTAAATTTAAATATACATTCTATGAAACTAAGATAACTGGTTTTGGTTTACAGAGTAATCTGTAACAGTTTATCATTCAAGTCTATTCCAACAGAGCATTTTTAACTGAATGATAATCAGTTAAAATCTCAATCCATGTTCTGATATTCCTCGAAAATTTCAATCTATGTTCTAAGATTCATATCATCTCCCCTGTAAAATTTCTCAGCTACTTCATCCTTTCTTAAATATAGAAAGAATATAATGTATATTCTATAGAATAGAGAAAGAATATAGAATATATTCTTTCATATCTTTATAAACAAAAAAAACAGATTATTTCAAAAACAGAAACATTCAGAACATTATTTCAATGAACAGGGTTAATTTAATCCCCGTTCCTGAACACGTTATGCTTTACTCCTAATGGCTAAAGTGTGAAACATCTGTAATTAGAAAAAAAAGTATTGCAAGCAAAAATTGTAAAGATATTATCAAAATTCTAGTCCAGCTCATTACAAAAAAATTGTAAAGATGAGCAAAGGAAGAGCTTACTGTTCATGCAAAGTATAAGTCAGAATAAACAGCTTCTTAAATTTGACTTATTGTTGCTTTTGTTTTTAAGGAGGAACCATATCTTTGGTCACTGTTCTTTTTTTCCTACTGCTGAGTATTCTCCGAAATGGCATCAAATATTAATACTTCTTATGCACAAAGTCCAATATTAATACTGTATCTGTTAGTCACAAGTCAGCAACAATTGTTGTTGTAAAATGTAATGAGCAGAAGTTTAGAACCAGAGCTGCTGCTAAGGCTAAGCCGACCCTTGTCAAGTTTTTCTAAAGCTGATTTAGAATTTTCCACCAAATTTGAGGATGACCTTAAATACTTACAAAAGACCATGATACAGCTGCCTTCACCTCCAACGCAGAACTCCATCACACTAAGAGTCACAGTCCTACATGCTGCAAGTCACTTCATGTAGTGGTTGTCTGATCAGAGAACAAAAGATGCATGTTGGAATATAGAATAATGAGAGCTCTATAGAATAACGAGAGTGGCTAGAGACTGCGTTTGACTAGCCAGGACTATTCTTGATAATTCATCACACAGAGGCTATAGTAAATACTGAGATATATCTAACCTAATAATACAACTCCTTTTCTTTGAAGGTACAGACATAGTAATGCTTTGATTATTTCCATCTGACAGGTTCTTCTCTGGCCAATGGAAGCTTGAACCTACACAGCACTGTGAAAAGGAAACTAGATGGGGAGAAAGATTATGTCTTCGATAAGAGACTACGATACAGTGTACGTCAAAATGAAAGTAACTGCCGGTTCAGGGACATTGTAGTGCGAAAAGAAGATGGTTTCACACACATTTTATTATCCAGTCAGACTTCAGATAACAATGCACTGACTCCAGAGGTAAGCATGTACCATAAAAGCCAAAGAAAACCAGCCTGATATGTGGGGATGTTGTAAGTGCTGCACTTAAACAGCGTTTTGTGCACCTAATTATTAACTTACTTAAAAAAGAAAGTATGGCGTTCAGATATACCTGACTTTTCCACGCTTGCAGTCTTGTCAAAAAGAATGCAATGAAATTAATTTTTCATATACATCTTTGAAACAGAAAACTAAGCATAAAGAAAGGAATGACAACATTATTTCCAGCACGGAACTGTAAGAAGCACTTGTTCACATGATTAAGTTATTGCTAGTTACCATCCTTAGTAAGAAATCTGGTCTCTTTCATGATATTATTTTAATGTTTAAAGGTGCTCCGGTAGTTGCATATAGATGTATAATTCAGGCTGTGGCCTGAGATAATGATTTTAAAAACGCATTCTGATACCCAACTGCTTATTTTCTAAAATGACTCTTATTTATGCAGTCTTATTAAGGGCTTCTTTCTTAGCTGAATTGCTTAAGAATGTAGAACATATAAATGATACTAACGAGTTCCCTTGTTCCAGGCATTGTACACTTAGGGTCAGACTTGCAGCTATACTTGTACTATCAAGTACACATGAGTCACAGAAAGGGCTTGGAAGTGCCAGCTTGGAAGTGCCTCCTTCCCTGTGATCCCTGCTGAGTGGACAGCAAAGTCCTGGTGTATCTCTTCTATGTCAGAACAAGAGAGATGGAAATGTCTGCATCAGGACACAGACAATAGGCCTGAGTCCTGCTCCATGCACCCTACACATAATGATGCCAAACAGTTGAAACTGTTGACACACACTGCTACACGTAATGATGCCAAACAGTTGAAACTGTTGGTACATACACATATCATTCCTAGGCTTTAAACTATTTAATATTTTAAAACTTTATCTTAGTAATTAACATTGAACACCAAACACCTGTTTTTAATACTAGATCCTTAATAAGTATTAGGTTAGATAAAATAGATCATTTCATCCTTGTATTACTACAGAGATTACTTATATATTAAAGAAGCTACCACTGACAGATGCCAAATGAAATTTAAATGAAGATCTCAAGGGCCTGAAAATTATGAAATCAAGGACTTAAACCATGTTAGGGCTGAAGAGGCATATCTTTGTGTTGCTGTCCCTGCTACCGCACATCAGCAGTGTTCAAATGCACCAACTAGTGAATTAATTCAAGCTCTTCAAACTGCTTCATTCCATTTTTTTTGAAAATTCTCAGTATGCCAGCAGCCAATCACCATGCAAGAATAAAACACAAACATGCAATATTCCTCATCTTGCATCACCAGCACTGATTATTTCTAGAGCTTTGCTGAAAATCATGCAAAAACTATGAAAGGTATTTTAGGAAGCTACATTACTAAGACCTGGATGGTCAGGAATTAAGCAAGGTAATGAGTTCTCTACGTTTAGACTGTCTGTTTAAAATTCATCCAGGCTGACAGCAATTGAAAGCTGTTACCCTCTGGATGCTGCTCATTGGCAAATGTGAAACTACTACTTTGGCCTCAATCCAGGCTGCAGCCCATGAGCGTGTGCACTATGAAATCCAGCACCTCCAGGATCAACACCCTTGTTAGCAACTTCAGTAAAAACTCAAGGGACTAAAAGGAGGAATATGTTGAATGCCTTTTTTTTTTCTCATAACCATAGCTGAGAAAAACTGTCAGAGTAATTCAGGAAAGTTTTAAGTTTTTTCAGGTTTGACACCTTTTACCATCACCGAATACACAACCACAAAACTCCTACAAGGTTTAAGAAAATACATTTCATTCTGTCAAAAGAATCACTAATTTCAAGCTTGAATAGAAATTCAGTAAATTACATTTGCCAGATAGAAAATTATGAACTTACAGCAGCTCTACTTGGAATGGTTAAAATATTATTGCTCTGGTTATTCTAGGCCAGAGATGTTAGGAAAGAAAACAAGTTCTGCACTGCCCACAATCATTATAAAATTGATCTTATACCAAAACACACTCACCACTAAACACCTCTGCTTCCCTTTGTGTTTTATCCTAAGCCTCAGACAAAATTTAATAGTTTCAATCAGTGCTGTCTGCTATTTGTGGCCGTTCGCTTAAAATAACTAACAACTTAAGAGCTACTGCACAGTATTCTGTGCATATGTCTAAACTGAGAAAAACAAGTTTTTGCCGCATAAGATAAATTTATCATTTACATGATACTCAACTTATTTTCAGGAAGCTTACTGATACCAAAAAAAAAGCTTAGAAAAGTCTGCCTGTGCCTTCATCCTACGTTGTTGGTAACCACATCACACCTGTAGGTTTGTGCAGGGGATTTCAGCATAAGATGTGCCCATGTACCTTTCTGCAGCATTTGCACTGACTGAAGTTGGCTTAGTGCCATAATATGGCATTTTTTCAACAAAATATTTAGGTCGCTAGATTTTTTTTTACATTTTACAAGACTTCACTGTTTTTACTTTACACTGTTAATATAGCTAAGAATTAATATTCCATTGAATTAAAAGTACATAAAAAACATACAGATAATGTTTTCAATAAGGACTGATATAACCACTTCACATGCAGAAGCACCAGGCTTCAAATTTCCAGCTGTGAGAATTACAGGCTCTCCAAGATGTATTTTGGAGCACTGGTGTTGCCTTCACTTTTCATTGCTTTCAACTTCTCCTGACTTATTAGATAACATGGCGGTACAAGTTTACTGCTATGTGTATTTTTGCTGTTGTACAAAGACAGATTGTTTCTTTGGCTAATACATATACCTGAAGAGAGCTATACAGGTTCTTGCATCTTTTATTTATCAAACATTTTTATATAGAAAAGAACTCAGAATCTGTTTGCATGAAGAGTCAATAAGCAATAAAAAGAGTATTTATGTAAAAAGGTAAGACTTGTGGAAGAGGTTCTAGGAACAACTGAACGGTTCTATATTTTCCTTTTACTCTAATATTTACAGAATATTTTCCTGCAAGAGTATCAACAATGAATCTTTAGAGGTTCAGGGAAGTTAATCTTTTAAACCAATATTTCTATTTATATGGACAAGAGACTACTGACTCTTCTATAATTAAGGTGATAAATTCCCAACTTCCTGATTTCCCCAGAACGTAAGCAATATTTAAACCAAACAGCACCAAAAGCCTTTTGAAACCTCCTACCTCCTGTGAAAGGCATTAAACTGAGCTCTCAGTTTAACCACGTTTATATTTATTTTGGAGTATAAGGTGTCCCATTAAGAAACTAACCACCTTCTTGTCTTAAAAGGATTATAAAATGAGCAACTTTTGAAAGAGCCATAATTTTATTATACATTTGGTTTCAGTAAAATAGTAAGTGAAGCATGAGAGATAGTTTAAGTTTATAATTCGATAGATTTTTATAAGCTGAAAATTTCCTGAGAAACTTTAGTCAAATACAAATAAAAATATAATCCCCCCAAATGAAAATTGACTGAATTTGACTGACCATAAGAAAAGCTTATTAAAAGAAAAGACATGGAACTGGAGAATAAAACTATGGAGCCCTAAAAATAGCAATATTAGATCTGTCTCACTAGAGAAAATAAAATTTAACTTATCAAATAAGATAATTATATCAAAAATGAGGGAAGGTTCAAGCACCGTGAAGGAGAGAAAAAGGAATATGTAATCCTGCAAAGGAACATAACTAAAAATACACACCATATCTTTTTTCTTTTTTTAAGTGAACTCACTACTGCATTAAATGGAAATCTGCACTTGAAAACAGCAAATTCAGAATGAAAATTACATTTAGAGTATTGCAGTCTAATACACAGTGCTGAAGATAAACAGACAAATCTTCAGTAGCTTTTCTATAATTTTATAAACATCAGGAGGAAAACACCCATACACAAATGGTCAGGGAAGCCCATGAGGGTAAGTGAAGAGTGGAGAGCAGCGTTAGCTGTAACCTAGAAAAGAGCCATGGTGGCGACATGAATTTTGGGCTGCACAGGTGAAGGAACCGTCCCATAGAACAAGGGAATGGGAACTAACTTGGCTGGCACTGGTTTCTGATGCTATATTCCTTCACTAGAAACCAGTGGAATAGTGTAAATAAATTTTCATACTTACTTAAAAAATGCTATCCAGATTACTGGATAGCCTTCCCATTCCAGCGAGATCTGGGAAATTAATTTTTAATAATTCACCTTTAATACCACCCTCTCCTAAACCCAAAAAAAAAGATGATGGTGGAATACTGTTTTTTTCCATGTAGTATAACTTCTGCTGAAAAGCCACATATGTACATGCAGGTAGTTTTAGATTACTTTAGACATCCAAAATAATAAAGGGGATGATGAGAACATGCCAGGTTTGCAATGGATTATCTATCTGAAGGACAACAGAGACAACATCAAAGAGATGGTATGTATGCAAACATCACAAGAGGAAGAGAAGAAAAGCTCTCTGCATGTAATATATCATGGCACAATCTATAAATCAAAATTTCTTATTTTATGTAAAAAGGACTATTCTTTAATATTATTTATACACTTTCCCTTAGAAAGAGTAGACTTTGAGGGAAGTAAATTAAGAGAGCAATGTTTTATTCAAATGGAATTAAATCAAAAATTGTATTTTTTAATGTCTACTATATTCTACAGTGTCTTTGTTAACTTTAAAAAGAGATTTTATTTCTCCTCCCTTTATAAAATATGCCGTTTTACCCATGTTTTTACCACATGAGGCCTGAGAGAATAAACAATACTTGTAATATTACTGATGACAGTTTTGTACCTGCACAAGAACTTCAAATACAGTTCCAAATTCTCCTGCTTTTAATCGCTTCCCTTCCACCCACTGTTACATACCCGGTATTACAGGCGCTGCGGAGGGCGCACGTAAAGAGAAGCTTCTATAAATTCACCAGCCGACTTCTCATGTCCAGGTCTTAGCAGCCAATGGAAGGCAGATATTCCTGTGCAATCATATATGGAAAGCAGGCAGTGAGCATTGCACTGCATGGTTTGAAAATACAAGTCCAAGCTTGTTCTCACAAGCCACAGAATATATAATAAAAGCCTACCTATTTTAAAGGATATAAACAAAACTGCTGTTCTCTGCTCAGGGAGAATTCTGATGTAAAACATTTCAGAGATGTAAAGGAATTTGGGAAACAGGAAGAAGTGAACAGAAATAATTGCAAGCTACAAATCTTGTTTCTTTCTTATATGCAAACTGTATTTGATCCACCAGCCACATGTTGCTGTCTTTGAAAATTTGCCTTAACAGCAAAGCTTTCAATGCAAAGGAGGAAAAAAATGACTCAGCTGGCCCCTGCATATAAAAATGACATGGCCACATGTGTATGTGTGTATGAGTATTCACATTAAATAAAATCATGACTCTACTAAAATGAAAAGCAAATCATTGAAGATAACAGGAGAAGCAAAACTGAAATCATTAAGTCAGCAGGGCTAAGCAGGGTAAGCCAGGCTTACCTACTAGACTGAATTGAGACCAAACAAGCAATTACCTCTCAGAAGCTTGTGAAATAATATTTCCTTTTAAAAATCATTATAGGGTAACAGTTCCACTCAAGTGGAACTTACATTTCTTACAATACCAGCAGCTCAATTGTCTATGGATCTTGATTAGTTTTGATTTGTAGTGAAATTGTTTGATTTGATTGTAAATCACAGAATAAAAAGGTCTTTCTAGTGGCTTTTTGGTCTAACTTTTGTAGACTTTGACCATATCACTGACCACAATGATATGAATAATGTATTTGTCATATTGATGTATATGAAGTCCTGTTATCCTTACCTTGCTTTGGTTCATGCCATTTGAAACCAAAGTAGCTGAAGAACTGAAAACGGGGTTTATAGATTTTGCTTACAACATATGGAGATTAATAGGCTATTGTCGTGCTAACCATGTTACTAAGGATACAGTGACGTGCACTGAGTATTTTTTAAACAAAAAGTGATATTTGAAACTATAAATTGCAATCAAATAGTTTCAGTCAGGTAGATAGAATTTCCCACAGAATAAGCAAAGAACAGCCAAGTTATAAACACTTTTTGAATTAGCAAATATCAATAAAGCACTTCCAAATATAAAACATTTTGTAAGCTCTCAGTGTTATCATTCTAAGTATATTAAAATTATATAACTATATATAATTTATGTAAGTATTAATTAACAGTGCCCAAAATTTAAGTCACTCCAAATCAATAAGGCTTGTAAAATTAGGGAAATGATATTGCAACGGCATGCATGTCGAATTGTTTACTTTTCTTTATCCACAGATCATGAAGGAAGTTCGGAGAGCATTGTGCAATGCATCAGCTGATGACAGTAAACTCTTACTTCTCAGCGCAGTGGGAAGTGTATTCTGTAGTGGCCTAGATTACTCATATTTAATTGGCAGGTTATCCAATGACAGAAGAAAGGAAAGCACTAGGATTGCAGAAGCTATAAGGTGACCCAAGCTTACCTATGATCTCTAAATTATGAAATGCAGTGTGTGATTATAAAGATATTTATCAGGTCCAAAAATGTTGTATATTTAAATGTTTATTGCATTCTAATATAATCCTAAAATTTATTTAGTGGAAGAACCTTGGACCTTTCCTTATTAGAAAAAAAAAGCACATTTATTCCAGTGCTGCTATTCACAGCAATTTATTTTATTCCACTTATATGTATTTAATATTTCAAATTATTCCTCCAAAATTGGATACAACTTTGTTGTTTTTCTTTTTCAAATTAGCTATGGTTTCATGTTCTAAAGTGGTTCCTGAAAGGCAGATATTTTATTTGTTTTAATGTTCATCATTTTAATGAATTTCAGCACAATTGGGAATCCATGTCTTAGTCATATTCTGTTGAAATAGTTGTCTTCCCTGTATTTCAGAACCTTATTAAAAGGGTCTCCAATATTTTTCTTAAATTTAAATTACTTAATATACATGTAAATTTAGTTTTATTTCGTAACTAAAATGTGACTTTCCTTACATATATCAGGTTATCTTAATAGAAATTCAGAGTTTATGACATTTAGACTTTAATATGTCTACCAGTCAATCTGCACAATACATCACCAAATATTTCCATTACCCACATGATATGCATATTGGGCAGATGTTCCAAAAATAAATCAGCATTACTCCACTAAAGTCAATCTGCACCAGCTGAGGGTTTGGTCCATGTTTTTTACTTTCTACATATAAATATGCTTCTTCTAGAGTTTTCAAATTCTATGCAGCACATTCCAACAGTTCTATGAAGGAATGCTAATGAATTCGTTTTATAACAGATCCATAGTTTGGACATATTAGTATAACGTAAAAACAATTGTTGTTATGTATTTCACTTCCCGAGCTAAGACATTCAGAATAGTGACCTTCAGCCTGTTAACTATCAGTTGTCTTGGTTACAACTACTGCAGCTCACTTTGGATTCTCGGTTCAATACTTCTGAAATTCTCAGAGAAGTAAAAACTATTTTAAAAGAATGAAAATGTACTACTTACTTAATATAAAAAAATCACTACCTGTTTTTAAAAGTCCAGCTATGCTTGAATATCATTTAGTCATATTAACAAAGAAGAGAAAGGAAAACCACTTTGAGAGACAGATTCTAGATTAATTTACTTAATATGAGAGATCTTTAAAAATGTGGAACCAAAAAGAATGAGAAGAAAGAAAATTACTACTCTTGTCTGAGAGCACACTCCCACTGTATGGAAAGACACATACTTATTTAATATTACTTATTTAAATATTGTGTAGATAGGTATTGCTATATAGGTATATATTTATATATGCACATTATATACTTAAGATATACTTATCAATTCAACATTTAAATGAGTCTAAGCTAGATGGTGATATCTTTAGGCAGTTTTTCCATCCCTGGACTCATGGAATACTCTTGAAGTACTCGCACAATGTAATTCTGCTTGTTAAGAATGTCGAATTCAGGCCCACTGAAAGTAGACTTCTATTGTACTTCTGGAAACAGTACACTGTTTTTTTCCATTTAACTCTCTCAGTGCTTTCTGTGAACAAAGGACTTGACCCATGGAAAATATACTGTAATAAGCATAGGAAAAACATTCCTTTCACTTATTCAGTGGTTAGGATGTCCTAGTACACAGCAACCCTTCTCTCTGCTTTCACTCTTCTACATCCAGTTAGACTGATGTATCAACATGAAATAAGAATCTTCATTACAGTGTGTTTTCACTTTCTAAACTATGGATCCCATATTCTGATCACAAGATAAAACTGAAGTTTAAACTCCTGTCAGATCTCATATCACATCAATCAAAAGTTTAATCACTTGGCCCCTGTCCTCCTCTACTGACTCTAGACATTGCAACTGCCCTTGAAGCTTATCTCCAGGCAGGGAACACAGCTCTTCAGCTCAAGCTGTGATCATCTAGAAACACGTCTCACATGGCCTCCTGGAGCAGGAAACAGGTATAGAGACTGCACTGCAACCACACGTATGTGGCCTACAGAGCCATGTGCTCAGAAGTGACTCCCTGGAGGGCATCCCCGGCATCCCGGTCATCCGTGTGACATCATCAGTGAGACATCGTTACATGACCTGATACATGGAGTTCTTGATGTGGTCAGAAGAAAACTAAGAAGGAGCAGTTTCCTTGATTTGTTTACAGCCTTTGATGTGTTTATGGGCCGTAACCTTCAACAAGACTGTTATGACCAAGAAGCAATTTTTGAACATCCCAAAGTGCATTCAGTGGTCAACTTTCCAGATCTCCTCTAGTGAAAACAGAAGCATTCTGCACATAACACTTTCTCTGATTTTTGAGCTTCACATTCTCCTGTGCTGCTATTAGAACTTTCAGTGAACTTACAATTTAGAGACATGCAAACACATCATGTTCTGAGGACAGAGAGCGCTCACTGAGAGAAACAACGTGCCAAGCAGGACAGGTAGAGCACTGGACAGTGCAGCTTCTGTATGTGCACTGCAACAAATATAGGTGTTTGTTCCCTCTTCCAGTCCATTCCACAGGTGACACATTCCATACCCATCCATTGTGCCATATGCTTTATGTTCTCCATCCTTACCCGATGACCAAGGACAAGAGTGTCTGCTCAGCGTTCTGTTCCACTCCCTCCCCATCCTCCCCAGCTCCAAGGGAGGATCACATGGAGATTTTCTTTATCTCTTCTTCTTCATTGATTCATCCTTCCTCCTCATCATGCAAACATTCCCTCTCTATGTATCTCATTGCTTTTCCGTATTATTTCCACGTCCTTTTATCAGCTCATGTGTCCACACAGCCCTCAGGTCCACGGCCACGATTCATCTTACTGTTTGTTCTTTTTGCCTCTCATTCTTCACATACCTGTTTCCCACCCTTAGTGCTACTTGCAAAACTTACTTGCTTAACCACTTTTGTTCCCACAATTCAGGAATGGATCAGGTGCAGTGATCCACAATCCTTACATCATCATAAATAACCAGAGAAATGATGAGACAAGGGAATAGCATTGCTTCCGCAATCAAAACAAAAAAAGAACAACTCTTCTGAATCCTCCCCTCCTCTACAAGAAATTGTGTTAGAGCACATGATATTTTTTTCACTCTCTTTGTCATGTCTTAGATCTTATGCTGTATTGCTCATTGTGTAAACAGAGCTGCCTGAACACACATTATTTTCTCATAACCAAAAATCAACTCCTTACTAAATAGCCAGAAAAACAGAACTCAATCATTTAGCGTTTAGTTCTGGGTTACCTCAGACTCTTCTTTTTCATTTGAAATACAGACAATTTCCTTGCACTTCAGTCTAGTAAAATACTTATCTTCAGTTTACTTTCAGTTTTTTTGCCAAGTCAGGATCTAACCGGCAAGATTAATGTTCTGTCTTCCAATGTGAAAGTTTAGGTCTTTTTGACCTCAGTGGGAGATCTGCAACACATCCAAGGACGTATTTAACAAAATACAGTCATGTTCTTTCATGTAGTCTGTCAGCAATGATGCACACTGGATCTAACAAATCTACAAGGCAGTTACAAAATCACCTGCTTTGTTTTGAATTTGATTAATATATGTCTTTTTATCTAATGTAATTGAGAATCTTGTTTGCCTTCATATACCTGCTGTGCACTGAGCGCCTGGAGCCCATAATTTGCCCACAATCACACTCATGCTTTTTTTTCCTAATTGATATGTAGACTTTTCCATTCAACAGATGTCTTCCCACAGTTCTTAAGTGGAGGTGACTTGTTTGGAGGATCTCTTAATAGCACAGAATTTAACATGTTCCGGTTGACTCATCCAGATGAATCCAATCATATTCTTTCCCCCATTATTTCCCATTGCTTCACATTTACTGTTGTAGGCAGGCATGGACATCTACTTTGTTATGCTTTAGATTGGGCATTTGCAATAATGACCAAACAGATCACGCTCACAAATCTCTCGTTCTTTAAACTATTTTCCCTCTCTTTGACTCTCCCTTTGCAGGTCTTGTTCTTTCAGCTGCTACAGAGCATTCATTACTTCCCAATACATTAATGGGATGTACAGAAATCTTTGACACAGGATCTTAAGAGAGCTTTTTGAAAATGTAAATGTGCAGAAAACACCTATCAGTTTCCTTTTTCTTTCATGCTAAAACATGTTCACCGTGTTAGCCAGATCACGCTGTCAGAATCACTAGTTCTGGAACAAACTGAGAAATGCTGTGTATATAAACTCAACAGTTACTGGTCAAGAAATAAACTAACCCTAACCAAGCCATTCTGCAGACACTACACTAGTCAGTACATTTTGGTTACTCTATTAATACACAGTACACAAAACTAATACCCCAGATGCCCTGAAAAATTAAGTAACTAACATGAGAGAAATTATCCATGTGTGAAGTAGTGAAATCCCGACCTCATAAAACTGGGCCATGACATTTATTGCCTTCATCTGAGGTTCTATTTTGTTTTCAGATTAAGTATATTAGGCTTGGAATTTATCTAAGTTTTATTTCTGTATTCAAGATTTTTTTTTTATTTTAGGGATTTTGTAAAAGCTTTTATTCAGTTTAAGAAGCCAATTGTGGTTGCTATCAACGGCCCTGCTCTCGGGCTAGGAGCTTCTATTCTACCACTATGTGATATCGTTTGGGCAAGTGAGAAGGCATGGTTTCAGACACCATATGCAACAATCCGACTCACTCCAGCTGGCTGCTCATCATATACATTCCCACAAATACTGGGTGTTGCACTGGTAAGGTTTTCCATCTAAAATTCCTGAAGAATCTGTGTTAATTTCACGCTCTTGTTTTCTCTGTCTTTAAGAAGCAAACCTGAAAATGTGTTTCTCTCAATTGTCAGGGGTGGAAATTAAAATCTATGGAAAGTTCACCTAATTCCTGTTTATTTCTTATCATAAAATGACCTCAGAATTCAGTATTTTCCACATGCAGAATACAAGAAAGATTTAACACTAGTTGAAGGAGTGATTACTGCCAAAATCACGGTAGAAAAGAGAAGAAATGGATTGACAGAATAATGCTACCAAGTCCTTACCTGTATTCTGTTAAGACTGTGTGGTCACAGAGTTAAACACTGTTCTTTGCTTCTTTTCTATAGAAAGTCCAGATAATTCTGGCAGTGTTGCTTAGCTTCTACCCTTGAAATAAAGTAGAATTTGACCCACAAAGTATTTCATACCATGTTCTGTATCACTGTATCATTGACAGTTACTCTTGTAAAATCAGCAATATAGATTCATCATCCATGCCAGCACATTTCTTTTTTAAATGAAGCCCATGCTGTGCTCTGGCCACCTGCACAATCCTTAAATAGCTACCAAAACTCCTTTTCAAGTATTCTGCAGCATGGAAAGATACAGGAGAACATTTGTAAATTTAATCTTGAAAATAGCAGGCAAGCACAGGAAAAGTTTTAAGAGCTCAAGTAATTTTTGCTTTTGTAGGCAAATGAAATGTTGTTCTGTGGGAGAAAGCTGACAGCACAGGAAGCCTGCAGCAGAGGACTCGTGTCACAAGTATTTTGGCCAACAACATTCAGCCAAGAGGTGATGCTACGAGTGAAGGAAATGGCATCCTGCAGTGCAGTGGTAAGGAATCACACCGCTTTGTGACTAAATTACACTTTGCAAAGGCAAGGTTGCTGCAAAGGCTTATCACATCAGAAAGGTGGGTCCTCAGTTCTCGATACCTGTGGAAGAAGGGTTAGCATGAGCAAACCTGGAGAGGGGTCAGGGAACTCAGAGATTCCTTTTCTCAGGAAGAGGAAGGGTTGTTTTATTTCCCCAACTCCACATTTATTTAGTACTAGTGCATTTGCTATAGGCTTTGAAAAAGGCATAGCTGTATAGTGTTTCTCTGTAATCTGTAGAACAGTACTGGGACATCTCTGCAGGATATTGAGCCTTCATGTTGCCCTGGCCCACTATGTCTCAGCTGACTCTGCCTTCTTGTCTGCACCTGCATAGTTCCTGATGCTGCAAAACGTTCTGCACAGAGCACCAGAAGGGTATAATAATGCACCTAAGCTCTGCTGTGAAGAAGAGGTGAGGTCCAGTCATAGATGGATCTGAACAGCATGTGGATACAGTGTACTGTAACTTTTGTGTATGTTACAGTTTATTGAAAATCCTTTCCTAGCTTTAATTTCTAAGGCCCCTTTGCTTCAGGCAGATAGACTCCTATTCCAGGCTCATCCTTGCTTCAAAGAAATGCATTGAAGAAACTAATACTGGCTGCAATGAAACTGTACTGACAAACGTACAAATTGCTACAGGTTATTGTTATGCTTCGTGTATCTGAAACTATCTTAGCATCCCTCAGTTTCATTTAAAAGATATGTTGTAAAAGACAAGGTAGAGGCACAGGAGATTTTTAATTAAGTACATTGAAGATTATATCTCACAATAGACATTCAGAATGAAATTCACTGGAAAGGTAGCATAAGCTTATTTGATCATGCTGATATAACATGCATTATATGAACTGGGAAAACCTTTGGGCCTTCCCCTTTCCTTCCTTCACTATTATTGAATGGCAATGAAATTTTCTCCTGAAACCTGTTAGAAAGAAGACTGGTGCTAACTTGTGGACAAAGATGAGAGTTAAAATTGATTTATGCTCTGAGATCCTAAATGCAAATCAGGCTGAAGTCACAAAAACAGTGAATATGAGCTGTGCATACATTCACAACAGAATAATGCACAGGCCCAGCTACTTACAATAAGCATCACTTAGTAAAGAGAAATACGGTTTTGGAATAGTGCAGTGCTATAACCTTTAACAGACAGGAACTGGACTTTAAATGTAGGTGCTGGCAAAGCTGAGTGGCAAGTATGCATCCCCCATGCCATAAAGAGGATGCTCATTTACATTAAATCTTCCGTTCCCAAAATTCAATACTGTATAAATTATTAATGATTTTGTTTGAATAGCTGCGTTTCTTGCAAGGTATGTATCTGTGTTATATATTTCAAAAAGAATTTTAAAGGAGACAATCTCATTCTGCTTAAAAGTAGTCCGAGAGAAACAAGAGCTGAACTGTGCACACAACCATGGACATGCTGTTCATACCTAACTAACAACAATTATTAGGAGATTATTAAGACTTGAGGTTGTGCTTTTCAATGTAAAAACTTCAAGTGATTTGTTATGACCTCTTTTGTAATGCGGAGAAAATGTAGTTCCAGAATAGTCAGCTTCTTTCACTTAATACCCTTCTGTTATAAAATGCAACTTCACTTTTGAAAACATTTAAACAAGTAAATTTGAAGAAGTCTTTGTGGTAAAGGCACATTCCTATACATTTCTGTTCTGACAATTAAATAATGCATGAGGAAAAATGGTTAAAGATGGACTTCCACACTGAAGTGTCAAAACTCTATAACCTAAAAGACCTATAACCTTGCAGAAAGCAGGTAGCTGATGTATCAAACCTCACGAATCTTCATTTCAAGGCAACATGTTCAACAAGAGGGAATTTATCTTCTTCTAGGACCTCATGGCAGAGCTTTAATAAAATAAGGTACTCCTGAATCCCTCTCTCCTTTTGAAAATGTTGGCATTAATGCATAAACCACAAAAGTCCTGAATTCTTAAAGACACTATGAGCAATTGTAACTGCAGCTGAAAACCAAACCTCATTTCTCAGCCCAAAGGAGCTGGTTAGATTGTAAAAGTCAGTAGTATAAAAATGTTGTTCAGACCATTATCCATAATAATTTGATTAGATTCGAAATAAAATACTAAGCAGTATTTTGGCTTTAGGTATTGGAAGAGTCTAAATGCCTTGTGCGAAGCTTCCTGAAATCTGGACTGGAAGATGTGAATGAGAAAGAGTGCCAGATGTTAAAGCAGCTGTGGAGTTCTTCCAAAGGACTGGATTCATTATTCAGCTACTTGCAAGACAAAATTTATGAAGTCTGATGTCATTGTCTAACTTAAGAGAAAATGCTCCGACTGTAAACAGAGCCCATGATTACCTGTGTTTGAAAAGCAGAGGCAATGCATCCTTGAGGAATTTGTGGCAGTGTATCTTAATACATATGGTTGTGTCCATTTCCGTGTGAGTTACACAGCTGCTTCTAGCTGGTTTGATTTTGTGTAACAGAGATGTAGGCAGGCTTGCTCAGTGCACATAATCTCTGCAGAGGGCTGCGTCTTTCACCTGCTCATGAAGATAAACGTTCACATTCCACGTGCTGAGAAGCACCACCGAGGCCCAAACAGGCACCGTCTGTAACGACTGATTTTTGTCTGTCCTTCTTAACTTATTCTTGCTGTTGCAACACACTTGGGCTGACCCAGAGGGCTCGATCTGAAAAGTGGGCCATTGTAACATTTTGTAGACCCAACCACCACACTTATGAAATATTTTAATATTTTTTTCTAGGTTCTACCAGTGTAATGGAAAAATCTGATAATTTATATGTATAATATGTAAAGTTAGTTTTACAAAAGTACTAGAATTTTTCTTCATTGAATTTATTTAACTTATTTATTTTGTGTTCATATTCAGCTGTTGGGTGATCAAAGATCTTATTTTCATACTTCCCTTGACTGAATTAATGGTATCACATAAGAATGCAAACATTTTTAGCAGCGAGCTGTGTAGAATATAAAGACTATGTAGAAAACACACAGTATGCTGTGGGCACTAACAGAAACAGCCATGTGTATGCGAGAAAATTGTACAAAGATGTATTTGCCAGGGTTAAGGATAAGAAAAGGGGATTCTGAAACAGCGAGGCCCCCTAAGCCTCTCTTCACTTCCTGCCTTCTTGAGGAGCACTGAAGGGCTTGCCAACAAGATGCTTTCTTTAAGTTTACTCTATTCCTGTTAGCCGGACGTCAGTAACAGGGTGAGCGGTGCCGTTATGTGGCTTCTTACTGTTCTTCAGGTTTAAAGATCCTCTTTTGGTCTGAAGTCTAAAAATGAATCTTTCTGAGCCTTAGTCTAGTTGCCTGCTTGCTCAGGTGAGCTCATTTCTGCTCTGGGGGCTTTGGATGGGCCCAGTTCACACAAGTGCTCGGTCCTGGTCAAAGCGGCGGCAGAGGTTTCCGTTTGCTTCTCCCAGCTCTCCACATGTGGTCATACCACCCTCTGCTTGCAAGATCTTACGGCTCTCCACAACTGCAGTCCACGGTAAGTGATAAAAATCCAATCTGATACTTTTGAATGGGATCCGAGGATTTGGCAGTGACACTGACCGCCTTCTGAACATTGGATGTCTCTCGTGTCTTTCTTGTAAGGCAGTTAATATGGAGACAGCACAAACCCATTCGGTGACTTCAGCTGCCATGTTAGTATGCCTGAATCCAAAGCTCTCGAAGCAGAAGCTGTGCACGTTTGTTTAGTTTGGAATTCGTGCATTTGCTCTCAGCAACTAAGTGACTAGGTTATGGGTTGGACCACTGCAAAGGAGGTTGGTTGGCTTCTCCCTCGCAGTCTTTCCATGACAGTCTCCACAAATCTGGGTGAAGTTAGCAAACAGGCGATTACAGTAGCCTTCGACACATCTATGTATTATTTCTTTTTTTCACAAATATATAAAAGCACTATTTCTGTGGCCTGATTGTACCACTGTTTTTAAAGAAATCATTACTCCAAAGGCAGTTTTCATGGAAGTTCTTCATAAAAAATATGAAATCTGGCTTCAAATTAGCCAGCTTAAACATCTTCAAAGAGCACTATCAAAACAAGTGGCTTATTTTTAAATGTCTAAAACAAAGAGGAGCTTTTTTGTGTCTCTTTGCAGTGAAACCACCTGTTTTATACCAAAAGTTGCTTATTTCCACAACCTTTCAGCAATGCCACGGACCTTGCTACTCTGTCTGTGGGCACTTGTGAGTCATCAGTAGGGCAGACCCCTTAAAAGCAGAGGGATTACTCAAGGGAAAAATATCCACTGGCCTCCGTGATTGCACAATCAGGCCTCTGGGATATGACTTCAGAAAAAAGTAATAGAAAGTACCATGGTTCCTCAATTTCCTTTTTCTTTCTTTATTCCCGTCCAGAGAGCCATAACTCCTAGTCATGTGTTAAATGTGTTAATAAAATATTAGGAAGTTCATTTCAGTGCTTTTTTTTTTGTAGATACATTTAGAAAAGAATAGCTCAGCAATGCGATGGTATGCTTTCCATATGAGATTTTCAAATAAAGAATCATAAGTTGTTAGACCTTCAAATTGCATCATTTCATCCGATTTTTCAAATATATCTTAGCATTTTTTATGACAAAGGAATGATTGAAATACATTTTCTATAATTATTTTTCCATTAAAGCAAGAGCTAAACATAGTTAACATTTTTAATTATTCATATCTATACAGTTACAATCTAGTTTTCATGGAATCTATTTTCCCTTCAAGAAAAGAGTAGTAACAATGTCAAAAGCTTCTTTTTCAGTATTTAAAGATCAGAATCAATTCTCTCTTGTGTTGCTGTCCTTACTAGGTATTCAGATATTTACATGTACTGTACATATTAGTCTGGGTACCTTTGCTAATATTCACAGTATTTAAGATTATAAATGCAATTTGTTGTTAAGTATGTTATTTTATTGTGTAAATTGTTTTGTACAATCTTTAAAAATCTACAGTTTTGCATTTGTAGATATTAAAGGTAAGCAATTTATTTTGTGTTGTCCTGCATGTATATTTTTGCTGTAGATAAGTGTTGCTTAGTTTACTATTTCAGTACATTTCTGTTTAAATGAATACGCTTATAAACTTTAATACAGTATATATTTTCAGAATATAAACTTTTATATTTCTGTGGTAGGTTAGGGTATGCGTTTTAGGCAATCTTTTTCACTACTATTAACTGTTCTTTTAATCTATAATGGTTTTGTGCCAATAGTTTTTCATTAGAATAAAATGCTCTTTTAATGTTAGGGATAAACAGACAATTTTGGTTGTTTTTGTTTTTTGGATTTGTTTGTTTGTTTGTTTTTTTAATTTTGTTTTGGTTTGGTTTTTGCCAGCCTTTACAGTTTTAAATGTAATTTGTAAATGTAATGCATTTGTGAATAAGCCTTACCATTAGGTACAAGAAATCTTTAAAGCTACATAATTGCACATGTAGCACTAAGGACTTCCCCAAGTAATTGCTGGAAGAAAGTTAGTAAAATCAGAGTACAGGGCCTTAAGTTTTTCTTGTGAAAAGGATAATACGGGTTGTTTCTTCTGAACAACATAGTTAGACTTGTCAGCATGGGCTTTGGTATATATAAACTGTGCGTTTGTGCTCCCAACCACAATAGTTTAATCTCAGGCTTTGTGTGGCTGGGTCTATAAAAGTCAAATCTGGCTAAAGCCAGCACTCTTTAGGAGACGCTAAAGAAGTTTACATAAGAGACTTATAGACAATCTTAATCATAGTACATTTGGGTACGCTGTATCCTAGATGTGCTAGCTGTGTCTGCCCAATTAACAGTATGTTTTAAGCCATATTAAATCTCTTTACTGCTACTTTAAATACTACACTGAAAGTCATTTGCTAGCTTACCTACTCACAGACAGGATTTCGATTTTTAGTGAGTAAAAAATATTATGCCTTCCATAAAAACAAAGGACCAAAGAACTGCATTATTCTAACAAAGCATTAGTTACTTAGCCAGTGAATTAGTTTGACATTTGTACTGAAGATCAAATAGTCTCTTTCTGCTACAAACACTGCACCAAGTGTAGGGGGAAAAGGTGTATCCACTGACTTGTTGTGAAGAGTGATGCTCAGCTAGGGTGGCATGTCTATTGGTAAGGCTTATTACCAAACCTCTGAGATGAAGCAAAGAACCAAAAATTCACAAATTATGTCAATGTAAATTTATTTTCGGAACTTGCACAACTAATTAATTGTAGTACTTTGCAAATTAGGCCCTTAAGTTATTTTGTCAGGATGCCATGGGACAAACTAAAACAGTTTCTAATATTTGTAATGATGAGTACATATTATAATATTATAAGGGTACAGGCACCCCAATATCACAGTGTTGTAAATATTTTCTGAAACTGGTACAGTACTGAGGGACTTGTATCTTCTGATATATCAACTATTGACTGTCTAGATCAAATTGTACACAATTTATTTGTTGATGGTCCTGTAACTAGTGTATGGACACATTTCTGGGTGCCTTAGAAGTTGTATTTTTCATGTGTGTTAATATGCAGTATTTATACATTGTGAGAAGCTGCTTTGAATAAAAACATTGAAACTTCATTTCAAGGGAGTGACTTTCAGTTTTCCCTCATCAGCGTGAGTTTGATAAATAGTAGCCTCAGACTCTTCTTTTGTATTTTAGCATGCTAAAGCTCTTCTACAGACTCCTGTATTTTGAAAGAAGATTGGAAGACAAAATCCTTCTTAAGAGAGAAATGGAACTTAAAAGTATTCATTAAAAACTGTAAAAAAATGGAGTATTATGAAACATCGCAAACATTCAGAGAAGGACTCTCTGAAATCATTCCTCAGGAATGATCTCATTTATCAAAGGATCTCATTTAATCAAAGGAAACCATAGAGAACTGTGTTTCTAGGCTGCCTTCTACTCTCATCACTTGCACGACTGTTTTGACATGTAGAGGTCACCTAGAGCACTACGTGCGCAGAAGCAGCTCCTGCAGACAGCACCTCAGCTCCACGCAAGGGCCTCGGGTTTTGGAGGGGGGGTTCCCCGGGGCCTGGTTCTTGTGGAGGCCCCCGTGCCGCAGGGCAGCGTGTGGGGTGCCGGGCTGCGCGCCTGCCGCCAGCTCGCCGGGACGCGGCGCGAGGGCTTCGTCACACCAGCCCTGAGCGCTGCTCCCACTCATGTGTCCCCCATGATCGGAAAAGTAACTGGAAATGACTGTTTCTCTGGGGAAGAAAGGGATGGATATTTTATGTGGGGTTCGGTGTTACCCAACCACCTGTGCAGCAAAGTTTGCGACGAGCGAACAGCGCTTGATCTGAGGCACTATATTTATGCTCCATAGATCAACTTGCTAAGCTCTAAAATGACAGGCACTTAGTAAAAAATGTGGTGAGCTATTTAGAGCAAAGGATTGAGAAATTTAGTCTTGCTTCACCATCAACAAATCCAATTATAATTTATTACAGTGACTCTTGTCATAATTAACTTATTGTAATTTGCACTGGACCGCAGGCAACATGCACACGATGAACACAGTATGACATTTATGTAGCATGCAGTTAAAAAGGTACCATAAACTTAAAACTTGTATACAAACACATTTCCTTGCTAGTGCTTGTGCTAAAAAGAGATGATTAATATGATCTTTCTGTGATCTCTGTCCTCTTTCATTCTCATGTTAATACATCTTGATAGTATAATCCGATATATATCTCCTTTGAATTTACCAAAACTAAGTTTATTTTTTAATGATTTACTAAAATAGCTATATTTAATTAGTAAATTAATTTGACAATTTCTAATGACCAAATATTTTAAGATTTTAGATCTAGAATATCTTCTCTCAAATTGAACTTTATTTACAACAGGGGGAAGTAAACGCATTGTAACTCACAACTGACTTTTCAGATCAGAATTAGTTGTTAAGTTGAACTAACTAAGCAAGTTAAAGCATTTTCTCAGCCCTGCAAAAGAGGTTAAAAAAGGTGGGTTTTTTACTTCCATGTGCTTAGTTAGTATTTTCTATCTATCTTATAGTACTAGGTTGGGGGATTGTTTGGGGGGGTTTGGAGAGAGTTTCAAATAATAATAAGAAAGCTTGAGAAACAACCTGCTCTAGAATTCAAACTATTTGAATAGTACTAGCAACACTTTGCTTTAATTTATCCTCTGTCCTTGGTTTCACAAAATTTGCTCATTACAGATGTATAATAAAAGTAGAGCCCTTCAGAGCTTTGTTGGATTCCAATTATTACGTCCATCTGGGCTGACATGGTAATTTTCACCTGGAACTGTCAAAAGGTGCTATGGGCGAAAGAATGCAATTTCCCTTTCAGAAAAAAAGAAACAATTTATTATTTAGCAGAGCATAAACAAATTATCACAGAGCATGAAGCAAAGGCCAGAAAGGCAGAAGAAAGAATCAAGAGTTTTTATAAAGGAAAGTCTCTCTACAAGGATAATAATTAAGTTTACTACAATTCAGGAGTATCTAAATATATATATATGTGTGTGTGTGTGTATATATATATAAACTCCAGCTATACTTCATGGCAAAGCAAGCCTAATTGCTAGGGAAGGAATTAATCACCTACACAACAGCTTTTAACATGATATAATGTACAGAATATCATCCTTATGAAAGCCCCAGTATAAAAGTTACAATGCTACTTAAGGAGTTGGGAACAAACCTAGCGATTACTGTTCCATGTGTCCTTCAACAAACCTCCCTATGTAACATGTACAGTACTTTCAGTGTGACTCCACGTGCCAATGCAAGCAAAACCAATGAAAACCTGCAACTTCAGCCTTCACGACTTCTTCCCGCAATGCGCAAAGCAGCTACAGCATGTCAGTAATGGTGAGGGTGACTTTGAAAAAAAACTTAAAAAACCTTTAACTAGCACAGAAGGCACAGTTCCATATCTCTAGTTCAAAATTTAACAGCAATGGCTTAGAAGTTTTGAGTAAAATACACCATTTCCAATGTTATCAATAACTCTTGTTAGTAAAAAGAAATGCTCTATTATATTTTAACCTTCTTCAACTCCTCAGTCATATTTATCAACTTCAGTTCTAAATGTCTGTGTAATTTATTTTATTCATTGGTCATGGGCAGAAATATGATTGGTCCACAACTGTGAAAAGAGAGATGAAAATGCTCCTTGCAAGTAAGAGACATGTTTGAAAAACGAGGTATTGAACTGCTGCTGCCGCCCGAGATGTTAGACACAAAGCTACATCTAACAGAGTGTCTATAACGAAAAATGATTTAAACACTAAGCGGCAATCTTGACTTGTTAGGATTAAGTTAATTACTATCATCTAGAAATAAGTTATTCATAGTCATCCAGAAATGCGTTTCTGATGCGTCTGTAAATAAGTGCTGCATTCTCTGTTACACTAAAAAGATCAGCAATTTTGTACCGCTGTCCTTCCAGCCTTCTGCTCAGTGATTACATATGCTGCCTACCAAGCTCCAGGGTATTCACTTCCTACAAGAGGTTCATTAAATGGATAAAGGCATTCACATAAAACTCTTCCCATGCCTAATTATTCAAGATCTGCATTATCTTAGCCTCTCATTTGTTTATTTTGTATGCAGCTGCAGCGAGCTGTTTGTCAGGGAGGCAGACTCCGGCACTCAATTCCCTCCAAGTCCACTTTTTGCCCATTAGGCTCATAATGAGCAACAACTCCAAACTGCTGCCAGCTGAGCCGCCGAGGGATTCCCTGCTGCTGCAGGGCTAAAGGTCGGGCGAGCGCTGCTCGGCTGATAGGCAGAGCGTGCCGCGTGCTCGGAGCACGGCGCTCGGAGTCAACAAGCGCTCCGCTCTAATCCTCCCTTTATTCCTGAAAGCAAGCCTTAATAATATCAGCGCTCCAGCCTGCCGAGGGTTTTCCTGCCATCATGACCTTTCATCACTCCTCTGCACAGGGCTGCTCCCTGCAATGATAACTGAAAAAATATAGGTTGTTAACTATAAAATAAAGCAGCCTCTAAGTTCCTTATGCTCCTGACCAGGCCCATCTCAAGAAGGCAAAGCACAAAAGTGCTCGTAATACCCATTCCATCTCCAGCATCACCCTGCAACCAGCTTAACTGTACCAGAAGAGCAGGACCTTGTCCATTTTATGTATTTACATATAACAGGATCCAATAAATAGAGGTATTTTTCTAGATATTAATCTAGTGCTTACTGGAAAGACTCCTAACCTGTCAGCCATGGTAGGATTCATCCTACACAGCTGTAGCTAGCCAGAACACAGAGACACTGCTCCTCTCTAAAAAAAGTTTCTCCAATAAAAAATGCTTTCCCTAACATTATTATAAGCTTAAACTCAACTTTAAAGAAACAGGCTGCAGTGCAGCTGATGTGAAACCTTGACTCTCAGTAGGAGAAAATCCACCAGCACAGCTGCATCAGGGATTCAAGGCACTGGTAAAGACACCGCGCGCCGGGCCACGTGCCCGCGAAACGATGAGGCAGCCCCGGCGCAGGGAACCGAGTGCCATGAACGCGTCTAAACCACGCTCCACACCACGCTTCTCCTATGGGCAGGAGGAAAACATCCTGTAAAAAGAAAGAATTCAGTGGGTTTTTTCTCCATTAGTACAGGCAATAGTGTCATTTTCCTCCAACTCACAATGGCTCTCAAATTTTAATTCAGGAGAAATGCTTAAGGAAACAGCAATCAGCAAAGAGAATGGCAATGAGGTTCATGGACAAAAACCAACCCAGTCCTACAATCCTCACTCTGACAAAACTCCCACTGATAGCCCTGAAGGCTGAGTGCAGGATGGTTTTGTGAGAGCATTGAGATCTATAATACTGAATACATGTGTGGACACAAAAAAGAGTACATTTTCTTAATGAAAATGCACTGCAAATGGTTGGTCATTTCCCAAAGGAGTGTGTACACATGCTGCTTGGCTTCACAGCATTCTTGTGAAGGGTTTGATGAATCATGAGTATTCCTGAAACATTTCAAAATTAATCTGTCTTAAAATTCTCCACTTATGCATCATTCTGCATGATCACCCTAGACCTCCTATGCAGGATAGAAAAATAGAAAAAAAAATATAAAAAGATAGGAGAGTGAGAATTTAAAAAAGGAAAAAAGATTTGCAAGAAGACCAACCCAATCATCCACCTGAAAATCTGAACACTCGTTTACAAGGTTGTTAAAACACTGCCAAACCAGAACAGCAGCATTTTATACCTGCTTTCTTATTCACTCTTCACAGGTGGAAATAACCACATTGCGAAGCTGTGTAGGAAGGGAGTAAACGGGGCAGAAAATCCAGCCTCTAGTTGTTATCTTCATGGTGGTAGTTAAAGGCACTTATAGAAAGGCTGTGGACTTAGAGCCCCCCCCATTGAATGAGCAGTGGTGAACTTGTGGTTAGGGGCTGGGCCTAGCAGAGCCTGCAGACTAGACACTATATCTGCACCAAATAAGCTAAGTTTGAGCTGCCTGTGAGCTCAAATGGATGACAAGAAGCTGGGACCCTAGAGAGACGATAACTTCCTGCCAAAGCCAGAGCAACAGGAGAGAGCAGTCGTCTCTGCAAACTCTCTGTTTCCTCCACCATCATCTGGCAGATTGGAAATACAAATACGAGCAAACAGTAATTTTGTTGAGAGGCTCATGTCACTCACCATGAATGACTCTGGCCCATGGTTACACACTGTGACACAGGATGAAGCCCTCAGCACTTCAGTTTTGGAAGTGAGACAGCCAAGTCATAATGCTAAGTCTACAGTTCGTGGACAAAAACCACGGCATGTCTTTCCCAGATGCCGCAACTTCTAAGTTTTCTTCCATCGTTATTCCAACACTAATTCCCAGGAACCCTGCAGAGCTATGGAACTTTGCAGAGCACCATTTCATTT